CTTTGCTTCCCTGCCCCGGTGTGCCAGCTGGGGCAGGGCTGGCACAGGGACCGGGGGCTGCGGCGGCTCTCGGGGGCTCCGGGGGTACCGGGGGTACCGGGATGCGGCCCCAGCTCGGGAGGGACGCTCGCTGCCAGGCTGCGGGCTCAGCCCGCTCGAGAAGCGTGTGCCACCCAGGTGTGTTTGCTGGGAACCCAGCCCATGGATTGCAGTTTTTAACTGGAGGATCCATCGTGGGAGCTCCAGGGCGGGCCAGGTGCTGGGCAGGCGAGATTTGGGCATGCGGAGCCTTCGGCTGCTCGGGCTCTGCTCCCGGCTGTGCTGGCTCCAGCTCGCTTCCCGTTCCCGTCGGCGACACAGATATAATTCTCTTTTCCTTTCTATTTTGGAGGGCACTCCAGCTGATTTATTTGTGACGATCAAAGGACACATCCAAGCTGTGATCCACACAGCACACCGCCTCCTTGAGAGGCTTTGTGTCGATCTGAAACGTGAAATGGCCAATTTATTCCTGTTTGGGGAACACCTTGGGAGCAGGCTCGGGGGGCAGCTTCTCCCTGGCCCTGAGGGGATCCTGCTATCGGAGCCCCCATTGCCCGATGCAGGGGGTGCCGTGGATGCGAGCCCGGCGGCTCCGTGCCCGTGGCCAGCCCCGGTGGCAGGCTGTGCCGGGGGCTCTGCCAGCCCCGGGGCTGGCTGTGCTGGCACAGCAGCGGGCAGGAGCTGGGTGTGGTGCGGACCCCCCGATCCCCCGTGCTCCCATCCCCGCTGCAGCGCTGCTCTCCCCACGCACTGACATCCCCGGCTGCCGCCAGCATCGGCTGCAACAACACGGGATAATGAAATATAAAAACTGTGTTACAACGGCTTTATTTATAGAACAAGGCTTGGAGGAGTTTGGGGTTGAATTATTTGCTTTTCTGCTGCAGTTTATGAATTGCTCCTGTGAGAGGCTGGGGAGCCTGGCTTGCTGGCAGGTTTGGCTGGGAAGTCCTTATGAACCTGGGGGATTCTGTTTAGCTGAGTGTCCATCCTGCTGGATCTGGACTACATTTCCCACTGTGGGCTGCCAGGATGCTTCAAGTGCCTTGTAAGCCAGAAATAGCTACCAGAGGCAGTTGGACAGGCAGAGCTTTCCCTGTTCTCAGCACTTGCTGCCTTATTAACACAATTCATTTTTAGGGAAAAAGGGCTTTCTATGCTTATTTTTTTTTTTAACCCGAATACAAACCCCTGTAATATGAGAAACTACATCAGCACCACCGATGTGAGAGCAGCTCTTTTTTTTCCTCTTGAGAGAAAACACCATTCATTGCATTATTCTGTATTTCCTGTCTTTATAATGTAAATTTTTTATCAGGGCGCCGCTGCATTTTCTGGGCTTTGTCCCCTCTTTCCCAGCAGGAGGCACAGACCTCAGACCTGTATTCCATGGGCCCATCCATCAAAGGCTGTGTTTGGAGAGGTTTTCTAAAGAGGAATGTGCTTAAAGAGGAATTTTCGGGCAAAAAGGTGGAGGTGCTGTTGCACCACTCGGTGCCTGGGCGTTGAACTGGTGCAGACGTCGCTGTTCCCTGCTGGATCTGGGATATTCTCCAGACAAAGCTGGGCCAGAGGAGGAGTTAATGAGAAGCACTGAGAAAGTGCGGAGGGCTGTGGGCAGCACGTGCTGAACTAGCCGGGCCCCTCATTAATTCCCTCTATCCCGAGCTCAGGAGCTCTGGGCTTGGCTTGGGAAAACCTCCTGGGAGCTGTTGTGTCCATAAAGAAGTGGGAAGGAGAGGGAGTCACTGGTGGGAAGGAGCAAGGGGACAGTTTGTTACGCAGCTCTCTCTGCTCTGCCCTGCTCCCTGCCCTGCTCCAGGGGCCTGCAATAAAAGGGCAGGAGTGTGGTTGTTGCTCCATCTGCTCATCCTGTGGAGCTGGAAGCTGGCAAGGGCCAGGGGGATGCACAGCTGAGATCCCAAACTCCCCGAGCCAGTCTGTGCCTGCTGACGCAGGCCCTGTGCTGTGCAATCTTCTGACCCCAACAACGACTTTGGCCATTGAACCTTCCAAAGAAATAACCAAAATCCACAAAATCCAGCAGCACAGATGCGAATTTTCTACATTTTTTGGAATCAGCGAGGAGCCTGTGAGCTGGGGGCAGGGAAGGGAAGGATGCTCCGAGGCTGCTGCACCCCTGCAGGCACAGCTCTGCTGGCTGAGGGCACCGGGGCCTGCCCTGGGAAGGGCTGGGTCTCCTTCCCTTCCCATCCTCCTGAGCCATGCAGAAGGAGAAGGAAAATCGCCTGAGCCAGAGCCTCCACACAAAGCAGGACAAGGAAGATTGCACAGAGCTGAGCTCTTATCTCTGCTCTGAGCTGCCCTTGGTGGCTCAGCCCCGCCGTGCTCAGAGCCCATCCCTGGAGCTGGGATTTACCCTGCAGGGACCGGAAAGGAGCCCCTCTAATCAGGTGTGTGTCCTCTTCCCCTTGGATTTGCAACGCTCTCTGCTGCTGTCACCTTCATTAAGACGAATCTCCGAATGCCAGGCGCCTCTTTGATGTCCCTAAAGAGGTTTTCTCTTTATGCAGGAGGCACAGCCCCAGTGGAGCAGGAGTATCCTGCACCA